CTGGTGGAACCTCTTCCAACCGGTTCGGTAGATTTGATGAACCGGTGCTACCGGATAGGTGCGAACTGGTAGGAACCCACCTCTGGGTCAATAGTATTGGAAGCCACTAAGAGGTCAGTACACATCTCCATTTCTGCTCTGCCAAGGGTCATGAGAGTAACCTGCACTGCTCTATGCCATGCCTTGATATGAAACCCAACTGGCACAAGTCTAGATATACTATTTATTTTCAAAAAATTAAATTTTAAGTGACAAGACTGTGAAGGTTTTCAAATTACAACTTCTCACAATGAGCTTGTGCAAGGGAATTAAGGCAAAATCCAATTTTTCAACAGCACTCTGTTTGCCTGTGCAATCCTGATCATGTTTAAAACATGTTTAATATTAATAGTAGTAGGGTCATGGATGCAATCCCAAAACATCTAAAGCAGTGTTTCTCAACCTTGGCCACTTGAAGATGTCCGGACTTCAATTCCCAGAATTCCCCAGCCAGCAAATGAATTCTGAGTTGAAGTCCGGACATCTTCAAGTGGCCAAGGTTGAGAAACACTGATCTAAAGCATTACTTGCATACCACTGTCATTGATAAAATCACCACCAGTCATTTGCAAAATGCAGCTTTACTTGGAACAGTTTACATCCTAATGACACCGTTAACGCCATCACACATCTGCCTTTCGCAGATCCTTGGGAAGGATTTGATAAGTGAAAAATAAAAAAGCAAAATCCAGTCTAAACATCTGTTTGATTGTGTGACCATCCATAATATTAAATGTATATACCAACCGACTCTCAGCATCTCTGGATGATTCACAACAAAAATTATAGCATAATAAATATGACGTAAAAATAAATAAAAAGCCAATTGTTTTTAGTTTGGAAAATGTAAGTGCTGCTAAAATCCATTGTGTGACAGAGATTGGGTGTGTGGTATGTGTAAAACAGTAGCAGCCATCTTCCTTCAAGTTTTAATTTAACATGGCTTGAAAACACAGGAAAAATATAAAATGGAAATGCAGAGATAAGATTTAATACTGGGGAGTCACTTCTGAGAAAGTTGGATGCTTACACAAGATAAACAACTTTCAAAAACAGGAAAACATCTGATTCTGCTCCACACATCATCGTCTTTTTTAAAGGGATTATTCTGAATCATTTATCATCCAAGAAACACCCCCCCCCCCCGATACACCTGAGAAAAACTCAGATGAAGCTATTCACCTTTTGGATGACAGGAAAATTACTCGGCAGCAACTTGGTGACACCATTTTCATACAGTTTTTTCCTCAAGCAGCTCTCAGCCATGTCTCCACCCAGGCCAGACTGATACTGCAACAAGGACTTTAACATGGTTTCAAAGGGGTCCGCTGAAAGAGAGAGTGAAAATGCAATCAATCCCTTCAACCAGGCTCTAAAAAATTCCCCCCCTCCTTTTTGGTTCTCATGGTTCCCAGCCATGGCTGAATGCTGGAAAGGAGGAGGTTAGGAAACATTGCTCCAAATCTGTCAAATTGGTTCAGAGGCTTACAGTTAGTTACATGGGAAGTGTTCTGACCCCCTCCTCCGTCCAGTAACGAATGCCGAGACAAGCTTAAATGGAATGTACTTTAATAGCAAGACCACAATCTCGGTGGCTGAAAGCCAAGCAAACAAACAGGTAAGGACCTTGGCAGCAAGTCAGACAAACCTTGGCAGCAATTCAGACAAACCTTGGCAGCAATGCCAAGTTAGTTACGTTCTCTTTAGTCAATGCGTTGACTTCTGCAAGAGGGGCATGTGTACAAGCAGTCCTTTTAAAGTCTGGAGAGGAGCCTAATGACCACCAGCTGAGCGCAATCACCTCCCGTAATTGCGTAATTGTTCCTGACGCCTAGTAGCTCTTCGATGGCGTGCATCCAGGAACAACTCACTGC